TAGCTCAATTCAAGTTCAAAAATTTAAAACAAACTCAAACATTATTTAAATACTTGATTCAAATCAACTTGTTAAGAGACTATAGTCATCGGCACTCGGCATCGTTTCGTCGGACTTTTTTTTTTTATTTTTTGTCAAGGGCATCCTCGTCTTTATACATGGTGAGCCACCTTCCTTTGTCGTTATTCGTGGCCATCCTCCTCTGTTTTTCTTCTTCTTTTTTACATTTAATTAAAGCGTATAATACAAGCAAAAGAAAATTGAGTTAATACCTATAAAAATGAAAAATTACTTGATTAAATATGACCTTTTTATTACTTTCATGACGAATTATGATTCAGAATTTGTGTTCTGTAATATTTTTTTTTTTACCTTTCACTTGATGACTTAATTATTCTAAAGAAAATGAAAAATAAAATAAAATTTCAGCTAAACTCCTCTCATCAAATTGTTCTAGATAATTATTTTAGAGTAAAAGAAAATTGATTATTCTTGTTTTTATTAATAAAAAAAAGTCATAAAATAAATATTAAGAAAGTTGCTAATGGCTTAAAAAAAAAATAAAAAAAAAAAACAATAAATGGAAAAATAAAGGAGGTTGCCCTGTTTCGGACCCTTGAGGGTTAAGAGAAGTAGGGTGGTTGTTAAGAGAAGTAGACGGGTTGTTTTGGAAAGAAAAAAAATGTTGTTTTTAGAATGATGGACGAAAATGTCACTTCAATCCTTTAAATGTGGCATTATTAAAAGTCACTTGTGGCCGTAGCCTTAAACATTTATATATATAAAACCTTTTTCTCACTTTATGTATTTTTAAGTGTATTTATTATATTTTTAATTATTAATTTATATAAAAATTATAAAAATAAATTTTAATTTTAATTTTAATTTTAATTTTATATATAACATTTTAATTAAATAATTGATAAAATTAAAATTAATTTTTAATTTTTTTATATAAATTAATAGTAAAAAAATAAAATAAATGTACTTTTAATGTAAAGATTGAAAAGTTAAAAAAAAATTTTATCTAATTTATACTTTAAAAATACACATTTAATCTCATTAATTATGATATTTATAATTAATTTTATATAAATCCTTATATTAGATTTATATATTTTTTTATAAATTTTAAATATAAATATTTTATTTTATTTCAATTAAATATAATATAAAAATTTATATAAAATTAATTACAAATATCACAATTATTAAGGTTTAACTTATATCTTAACCTTATATTTGAATTAAGAAAAATACAAAAAAAAAAGGAAAAAAGAAGAATTATATTATTTTATTTCCCTCAATTCCTTTCTCAATTATATAAGTATTTAAATTAAAATAAAAAATTTTAAAAAAAATTCTCTACTTCTCTTTATTTTTTTTATAACTAAATAGATTTTTTTTTTTTTTCAATTCCCTTGATCCTCCTTAATCCAAACGTATTGGATGGGTAGGGGTTAGAAAATCACTTAAAAAAGATCCTAAAGATATCAACTTTTAAATTGAGAGATTAATTTACAAAAATACAGTTTTGTAATTATCTCAAACTACAAGGGTATTTGGCGCACCCCTCGACGTTTTAACAACAGCTGGACCCAATCTGCGGAATTGAAATTTTCTCGCAGGCTACCAAGTACCAACCCTCCTCTCCCACACTTTCTCTCAGTTTCCCAGAAAATTTTTCTTTTCCATTGACTGCTCATACCTCATACCTCATACCTCATACCTTATACGTTACAATCTTTCACTCTCTACTTATACTGTGACTTTCTAGAGAAAAAAAAATGTCAGCTGGATCGGGAAAGAGCTGGAAAATCCGCTGCATTGTCCGGGTCCGCCAAATGCTAAAGCGGTGGCGAACCAAGGCCTGCCTAATGGACGTCCCTGCAGGCCACATGGCCGTCGTCGTTGGGGCCAACAGCCGTAGATTCGTCATACCCATGTCCCATCTCAATCACCCAATGTTCCGGTACCTACTCGCAAAAACTGAAGAGGAGTACGGTTTCACCAACAACGGGCTGTTGACCATCCCCTGCGACGAGTCGCTCTTTGAAGAGATCATCCGAGCGATTTCCTCTTCTGACCCACCATCGAAAGCCGCCTGTTCCAGCAGTTTTTGCCGGATCGGCATGAAGAAGAAGAAGATCGGACTCTTCAGCGAGTCTCGACCATTGCTCCGTGGGTTTGCTGATGAATTGGTCCATTGAGAGTAAACTACAAACTCAGCTGAGTTACCGAGTTTTGGAGTTGACTAGGCGAGTGTTATTAATAATTAGTGTTTTATTTATTTAATTAGAGTGCTTTAAGCCTTTTTAACGGTAAGATTAATCAGGAGATGACAAATTTGGTTGTTTTTAGTTTACATAGTCATCCCGATTTAAGGCTGAGTTTTGAGGTGTGTTATTTTCTTTTCTTTAATTTTTTTTTCTAGGTATTATTTGTAAATTCAATTCCATAAGTGGATAAGATTGATTGGATCTGATTTTATGAATTTCGTATATTTCCTCTTTTTATTGAATGCTGTTAAATGATGGTTGTTAGTCTATTTTTTTGTAATGAGTTTTCTGTTTGGTGGATTTCAAAACATGAAGTATTGAATGATGATGAAGAAGACAATAGTTCCTTTTAATCTACTGTTTAAGTTATGCAGTTTCGTTTTTGTTTTGTTATCTTTTTAAAGGTTAATGTTTAGGGATTTACCCATTGAAATTTATAGAATATATTTTTTTCAAAAAGAGAAAATCACAATGAGTTACTTATAAAATTATTAGAATAATTTTAATGAATATTTTTTATGTTGATTTATTAAAAGATATTTAATTTATTATTATTATTTTTTAATATTTTAATTATCAAAATTGATTGATTTTCCACCATCCTTTTTGTTATGAAATTTATATTTACGGGACAGAGAATTAAGGTTAGTGGTTGTACTCGAAAGCATAACCAAGTTGTTATAGTTATAGCACTGAACTT